ATAATAATTACCGAACCTAAAAAAATTCAGGCAATAAATAGTCATAATTGTCGTTTCAGAACTTCACACGTCTCAGAAATATTTAACAGTTAAAATAAGCATAGGGGTATAGTTGTCATTTCATATATAAATGGGTATTATTATATTTAATCTTACTTAAGGAGTTATAATTATGATTAATTTTCTTTTTAGAATTTAATAATAATTAAAAATTTAAGCCAATATAAAGAGCTCCAAGCTTCCTTTCAAAACAAGGCCGCTGATTTTGGTCAGCAACGCGTAATCATAATCAGGAAAATTCCTTCTCTTCTTCCCGCCGCTTGCTTTTCTTCTTCTAATGAGATTCATAATCTGAGAGAGGAAGTGATTTCGTGTTAGAGTTTGTGAGTTTGATCTCTGGCTTGTCAATGGCGAAGAAGAACAGTAATTCCAAGAAGCAATGTTACATTTCGGTTCCATCTCAAATCATAAACTCTTTATCTTCTTCTTCTCTTCAATCTCTTCTTGATTCGCCGAAGAAATCTTCTAAACATTACGACAAGTATCTCAGTCTTTTCACTTACAGAGCCTCGAAGAAGCTTTGGCTTCTGGCTATTTTTCTCTTTGGTTTTTTGGGGATGCTTAAGCTTACTTTTAATCTCGATCCTTTAATCGCTTATGTTTCGTACCCTTGCTTCACGTCGCAATCGCAATCGCAGGGTTTAGTCTCTAATGGGGTTTTGAAGTCGGGTGTAATCGATCGAGAAAGAGAAAATGCTCTGAAGGATGAGAGTATGAACGATTCTATCCAATCGCTTCGGCCGATTTCAAATGGGGTTTTGAAGTCGGATGAGGGTTTTGGAGATGGGAATGAACCGCAGGAGTTCTGGAAGCAGCCTGATGGATTGGGCTACAAACCGTGTTTGGATTTCAGCCAAGAATATAAAAAAACAACCACTGGAGTTATTAGTGAGAGGACTAAGTATCTGATGGTGGTAGTTTCTGGTGGGATGAATCAACAGAGAAATCAGATCGTTGATGCTGTTGTGATTGCTAGAATCCTCGGGGCTGCTCTGGTTGTTCCAATCTTTCAAGTGAACGTCATCTGGGGAGATGAAAGGTATATGAACACGATTGATATATATATTGATTTGAAGTAGATATCCATCTTTTGCCTATTTGTTTGATGAAGTATCTAATTCATAAGAACTGGAATAGATTCTGTGTTTTCTCATATATCAGATGCTAAGTTTGTTTTTGTGTGCTTATGTTTGATGGTTGCAGTGAGTTTTCTGATATATTTGATTTGGAGCATTTCAAGAATGTCCTGGCAGATGATGTTCATATAGTTTCGTCGCTGCCATCGACACATCTGATGACTCGTCCCGTGGAGGAAAAATCGACTCCACATCACGTCTCACCCAGTTGGATTCGGTCGCGTTACCTCAGGAAGGTGAGGATAATCAAATGAATTTTGGTGTTTGTTCTTCTAGCTGCCATGGCTTCTCTTTGAAGCTCACTGCTAAAACAATGGCTGCCTTCTTGAATGATAGGAAAAGAATCTGTTGATAACTGTTCTGCTAGTTTTCATTATATCCTTACCGTATAATTTACTCTTTTTCATCACAAAGCATCTTTGAAAATTGCTTTTGAATGTGTCACACAATACATTTGAACTAAATAGTAACTCATTCTAATGTTTGTGGTAGAGTTTTTGAGACCGTTCGTGTTGCCATAGTGCATGGATATTGGATTGAAGTTTCGTTTCTCACTACTAAATCCGAAAGCTTAAATTGTGAGACACACATCGGTTGGGAAGGAGAACGAAACATTCTTTATAAGGGTGTGGAAACCTCTTTCTAGCGTTTAAAAAGAAAAAAAGCTTCGAGGGAAAGCCTAAATAGGACAATATCTGCTAGCGGTGGGCTTGGGTTGTTACAAAAATATATTTACTCTTTTTACGTGTGGGCGTGGATGTTAATTTGATTTTACGATGAATAATTACTAGAGCAGTTGGTTTCGTGCATAATTTGAACTACAAGTGTAAGTCTGTCTGTCTAGATTCCTACACAACATATATGCCCCGTCTTTTAAGGTTGACCAAACAGCTACATACTACCAACTAAGCTTTTGTGTCATCTAGCTATCGTTATGTTTTTTGACAGAGTTTTTATGTTCTTTGTCACTGCAAAACGTTTTGGTTGGTAACTTGACGATATTAAGGTACGTGTGTTGAATTTCGCAGCTAAGACGAGAAGGGGTACTGCTGCTGCGTGGCTTGGACTCGAGGCTTTCTAAGGATCTTCCTTCTGATCTTCAAAAGCTCAGATGCAAGGTATTATAGGTTTTTTTCTTCTTGTAAACAACTCTTTTTGATCTCTTGATTAGTTGTTTGTCGCTTAGACTCAGTCGAGTTAGACAAAAACATATCGAGTTTTTATTGCGGCTGCTTCATAAGTAATTTTGCCATAATAATGCTGATGAAATGAGGGGATATCAGTGTTAATTGTTGTTCTTTTTCCTGTTTGTGCTTTAGGTTGCTTTTCATGCTTTGAGGTTCGCTCCACCAATTGTGGAACTCGGTAACAAGCTTACGGAGAGAATGCGAAGCAAAGGACCGTACCTCGCTCTTCATTTACGAATGGAGAAGGATGTTTGGGTGAGAACCGGTTGTCTACCTGGGTTGAGCCCGGAATATGATGAGATGATAAACAATGAAAGAATACGAAGACCCGAACTCTTAACTGCTAGATCAAACATGAGCTACCATGATAGAAAACTTGCAGGCCTTTGTCCCCTGAATGCCTATGAGGTTATGAGGTAAAGATATCTTAACCATGCGCTTGTCATTGTTGATCATTTACTGTTTTAGGTTCTGCTTGACTAAATCTCTCAACGTACTCAGGTTACTGAAAGCGCTCGGCGCACCGGGGGATACGAGAATATATTGGGCTGGAGGGCAACCGCTAGGAGGAAAAGAAGCCCTGCAACCATTAATAAGGGAGTTCCCAAACTTTTACAACAAGGAAGATCTTGCTTTGGCGAGCGAACTCGAACCTTTTACGAAAAAAGCTTCGTTTATGGCTGCTATTGACTATATTGTTTGTGAGAGCAGCGACGTTTTCATGCCTTCTCACGGAGGAAATATGGGCCATGCCATTCAGGTACAGATTCTTCTTCTACTACTAGTTCACTGGTGTCGTGTGAAAACACTTGCTTCTCGAGTTCGATCATAAGATCATAACGAGTCGGTTGTTCGTTCTATTACAGGGACACAGGGCTTATGCTGGGCACAAGAAGTACATAACACCAAACAAAAGGCACATGCTTCCCTTCTTCTTGGATTCCTCACTCCCCGAAGCAGAGTTTAACAAGATCATCAAGGTGCTGCATCAGGACTCCCTTGGACAGCCCGAACTTCGAACGAGCAAAGTCGGCCGAGACGTTACCAAGTACCCTATTCCTGAATGTATGTGCAACAGCAGCTCTGATGCTCGTACCAAATAAGTCAACAGCTCATCGCTGGTACTACCGACATAGCAAAAGCCTCGAGCAACCAGAGTTTAAGTCCACAAAGCCTCGGAAATCCCGGGTTGATCGTTGGCGCCGTCTCGGGGCAGCAAAGTACTGGAGGAAGAAGATTTTGGTTCAGGCAGCAATGAGATAAAATATGCAGTTGTGAACCGAAGAATGCAGGCCAGGTTATATGTAAATGAGTGAGAGAAAGATGGGTATATTATAAGAGAAGTAGAAGGAATAGCATAACACTGTATAATTCTTTGATTCTTTACAGAATAAGTTATTTTATTGTAAACACCAATTTTTGTTGTATGAAATGATTCGTTATTGTAATAACACTTTGTCAATACTTTTTAAAATCAATTAGTCTATTAGACTTAAATTCAATTTTGTTTTCAATACATACTAATAATAAAATGTCTCTCCTCAAATTTACTTTAATTATAATAAAAGATATTGGTTTGAAGTATTTTTTCTACTTTTTATCGGCTCATAACTATCGACTAACCTAAACTCCTCTGTCCCTCGGGACGAACAAGGGGTAGTACTTGAATAGTCACCAATTTTCCATCGACTATGTCTTTTGGTCTAATCTTAGGCCCTGACTCACTCTCCATGAATGAACCTCGCGGAGGAACCCTTAGATTTTCAACGTATTGGATTATCACCAATGTTTGCGTTTCTCGAGCTGACATTTTTGCTTCCGCTTCGTCCACCAACTGCATGACTATCTAGATGTTAGACGCGGGAGGGATTTGGGAGTTTTATTTTTTATTTTTTTTATTTTTTACGTTATATTGTCAAAATTACTCTTAAATTATAAGATTGATTTCAATTATACCACAAAATTTTAAAACTTTCATTTTAATTCTTAAAATTTGAAGTTTGTTTCAAAACGATCATGTTAAGGGTTCCTTCTTCCTATTTTAAGCTTATAAGTTTTTTTCATTTTCGATGGTTATACTAAACCTTGTTAGATGAACACGACTCTCTACAATAATATGATATTGTCTACTTTGAACATAAGCTCTCGTAGCTTTGCTTCATGATTATTCCATAAATGAGCCTATAACTTTCATCATCTAACGAGTCTAACCCTCCACTTTCTTTCATGTATGTGTTTAGATTTATTCACTGTATAAAGCATATACAAACTTTTATGTCCATGAATTTAACAACAAAAAAAAATTCAAAAAATTTAAATTTAAAAAATTAAAATGAAAAATTAAAGTCAAACTTCAAAAATATTAATGGTAAAAATTAAATGCATAAATGTATAATTTTGTCCTCTTGTTATTTAAAAAATAAGCCTTGGACAATTGTCATCCATGTACTATTTCTCATTTTTAACCAAACAAAATTGTTTTTTAATTTAAAGATTATTACGGAAAATTTGAAAATATTTTAATTAATTTAGCTTAAAAATGCAGCAAATATGGTAATTGGTAGATTATTTATAAAGAAAAAAAGAAAAAAGAAATTATATTCCGATTTTTGCGCTGACAGCTGACAAGTTATCTCATAGGGCATTTCGCCCAAATTCACACACTGCAATTTCACTTTCGTTCTTTCAACGGTGATTCTTCAAAAATGCCGCTGAAGCTACAGGACGCCTCCGTCTCCGACTTCAATGCTGTATTCGACAAATTCCGATCGGAACTGCCAAACAATAAAGCTAATTTCATCCTCTTCTTGGCCGACAAAGACCCTTCCACCTCTCTCAGCTGGTGTCCTGGTACACCAATTCTCTTCTACTTCTTTGTTTTTCACCGCTTTTTCTGATACTTCTGAGGATTTTTTTTCATTTTTATGTGGATGCTGTGATTACCGATCTCCAAAGGAAGATGAAAATCGTGAACGTTACGCCATTGCTGTTTTGTCGCTGTTTTTTTAAATTGGGAATTTGTTATAATCCTGGTTCTGTCGTTGCTTCTCGATTTTGATTGCTTGCGTTTTGCCTTCCGAGTAAAATAATTGTAACATGTGTTTGAAGTCCTTGAGTTTTCCCAATCAATTGGCGGGGGATAACGATATCCATGCACACACACACACCATGTGCTACAGGAGAGTCAAGGCTCCAGTATGTGTCCATTTTAAGTCATATATCGCATAGTCTATCTATAAAATTAGATTTTCCTTTGCATGCAATGAAAAACACTTGAAGGAATTAGTTAATTGAAGACATTATCTACACAAATGGGTTTCTGTATTTGACTACGAGATTCTATATCATGGAGCTGACACTGAGAATCAAAATTTGGAGGTCTCTTGTGATTCTGTATTCATGACTAAACTAGGAATTTCTTTTTCAAGTTTGCTTACATTTTGGTTTAAGGATGGTCTCCAAGAGTATGAACTTTTTGCAGTGTGGGATTTCTTGGATCATTCCTAGTTCCCACTTTGAGCTTTACATGTTCGATGCAATGTCTAGATGGAAACATCACGATAGTATTTGATACATTGCTGAATTTGGATTATCTAGCTTCTATTTTGTGCCAAATGGATCCCTTACAAATTCATCATATGTTGAAGTTAACAAATACTATGCATAAAATTAACTGTTTCCTAGATCATTAAATTTTCAATTATGTCCAATAGGTAATTTTTGGTGTACCATTGTCACTGGACAATAAAGAAGGTACATTTTCCATTAAGTAGTTTTCTCCATTAAGATTGTAATAGTCCAAGCTCACCGCTAGCAAATATTGTCCTCCAACAGCCTAAGCCCACCGCTAGCAATTATTGTCCTCTTTGGGTTTAATGCTTCATTCCCCTTTACAACCGATGTGGGATCTCATAATCTATCCCCTCTCGGGGCTCAGCGTCCTCGCTGGCACTCGTTCCCCTCTTCAATCAATGGAATCTCACAATCCACTCTCCTTCGGGGCTCAGCGTCTTTACTGGCACACTGCCAAGTCTCTGGCTCTGATACCATTTGTAACAGTCCAAACGCACCGCTACCAGATATTGTCCTCTTTGGCTTTCCCTTTCGAGCTTCCTCTTCTCCTTCCTCTGAAGGGTTTTAAAATACATCGGCTAGAAAGAGGTTTTCACACCCTTATTAGCAATGTGTCGTTCCCCCTTCCAATCAATGTGGGATCTCACAAGGATAGAGATAATCCTTTCTTCCACCATTTGAGTCTATTTACCTCTAATCAATAAGAATTATTAGATGTATTGTATTAGTATTAGCAAGTACAAGAGCAGCTCAATTGGTCAATAGGTTTGAATTCTCCACCTGTTTGCTGTAGAAACAGGATGCAATCATTAATTGGTCTTAACTGTTTGGTTTTTGTGCCAGACTGTGTGAGAGCTGAACCAGTAATCTACAAAAAACTGGAAGCAGCATCGGATGATATCGCACTTCTGAGAGCCTATGTTGGAGATAGACCAACATGGAGGAATCCTAGGCATCCATGGAGAGTGGATTCTAGGTTCAAGCTTACTGGAGTTCCAACGCTGGTCCGATGGGAGGCGAATGATAAAATCAGTGGTCGCCTTGAAGACCATGAAGCTCATGTGGAGAAGAAAATTGATGCCCTTATTGCCAATTAACCATTGTTAGTGTCTGCTCCATAACACAGTGAAGCACCTTTTCCAACTTAATATGCACTACATTCCTGAGGAACTTATATGTGATACCTCAGTTATAGAACTATCCCATAAATAAAGCTTCATGAGAGTTCAATCAGTATATCAGTTTACTATTCCGCTGAAAATGGAAGAACACTTTGGGTTTCTTCGTATTGATCTCCATTAAAAATTTGACATTTTTTTTTTCTGGAAACCAGAAAAAATGTGTCCTTTTTGCATTCATCTCTCCTAAGTTTCTAATAGTAATGATTTCTTGTAGCTTTTATAGGAGCCATTTCTTAACATTCTCCATTTTTTTTTTTTAATAATTTTAAACTTTTGAGTTAAGTTTTAATTATTATGTTTCTGAACTCAAGTAACATTATTTTTGGATGTCAATTCATCTCTTTGTAGATTAATTGAAGTTTAATTGTTTTTTCAAAATTAAAACTATCTCCATTCTTTCCTTCACCTTGAATTACAAAAATTCAAATGTTGTAAAGATGAATAACTGTGGATAGCTACCGAGAGGGTGTATTCATGTAATTGATATGAAAATTCTTTTTTCTTCTTAGATAGAGAGGGCTTGGAGGCTCAAAATCTAGCATCAACTAGCAGACCGATGCTAGCTCCAAGTCAACACTACGTTTCCTTTCAAGTATTTAGTGAGAAACAACGTACTTAAAGAAGAAAGAATACACTAACTCTTTCATTAAACTTTAGACGTGACAATTAACTTTTTCCTTTTATAATAGCAACCCAATCTCACGATTGTTAAACTAGAAAAGAAATCGCATATCTCAATTAGTTTAAACATATATACTTATAAAAAAAATAGATGCCCAAATCCTCCACTGTCACATGTCAAGTGAAACAATAAATAAATAAGAACTACACATCTTTACAGGCCACGCTTCTACGGTAAACAAAACAGTGTTCCACTCCCTCTGCATCGCATCACCTGGAACACTTCCATTGGTTCCCCCCTAAAACGTATACAAATCAATGTGGATGTAAAATAATTTGTATTTTCCCAATTGTGGGAAATAAATAACTTTCAATCGCCTCGGGATCAGTTATCCTGTACGCACCAACAGATACATTCAAAAGTTGAATTGAAGGCCTTAATCTTCTTCAAATCCGCCTTCATACATGTCTTCGTCCCCATCTCCAAACTCATTGTCGTCTGCCGGCGCTTGATCGGCATCTCCAGCATTGGGTTCAGGAGCATTTGCGTCAGACTCGTCTCTCTCGCCTGTTGGCCCAACTGCAGATTCACTTCCGACTCGCATTGATTCAATACTTTCGTCACTGAGAAATGAGGTATATGGCTTTGAAACCTGCAAAACGTAATGGTGATGGATTGAAAATTGTTTACTGCGAACCATCCAAAGCAAGATGTATGCATTAAATCAGACTAAAATAAAGGAAGCCGGGCTAAAATCTTGACCAGTAATGACAATAGCTATATGCAATGGAAGGCTTGCCTTGTATAAACAATCCCTCTTCCGAGCACTTTCAACCAAATTATTCCAGTGTTCATCTCTCTTCAATGTTGAAGCAGAACCTACCACCTGAAATTAGCAAATTTAATTCAGAAAGCTGTGAAGAGTTGTGTTAAAGGACAACTTATCTGCTTAAGGTGGTGCCATCTTACCAGTATAGAAGCTCTTGCTCTAGTGATACCAACATTCATTCGGCGACAATCAGATAAAAATCCTATTGATCTATTCTCGCTTGCCCTGACACAAGAAAATATGGCAATGTCCTTCTCGCGTCCCTATAAAAGGAGATTTATTTTACTTATCATGCAGAATGTTGAACGATGACGTGAGCTAAGGCTACATTCATAAAGAAAATCTAAACTTGTTACAACATTAGGCACAATGCATTCATTTCCCTAGCTCTAGCTAGCTAGCCTTCCGAGTTTCTCGAAGAAGCATTTATGGCCCGTGCACGAGCACAAAATGTCCCGTGTCCAATTAGCCAAAAAGTTTACGTGTACACAATAATTTGAGAAGATAAAGGAATACCTGGCAACCGTCGACACTTGTAATATCCACTATGCCACTAGGATCAAGTCCAAAAGTATCCTTAAATTTTTCTTGGAGAAGTTTTACTTGTTGGCTATAGGGTGATATGATTGCAACCTGAGAATTTGACTTCAACTCTGGATATGAAATAACCAATTTATGATACAGGAGGAGGACAAATTCAGCCTCATCAACGTTCACCCAAGATCCACTTCCTGGGGGCTGAGATTCTTTCCCTTCATGTAAATCAAAGAAACAGAAAGGACCATAACAGTGGTATGCATGCCATGCACGTGCTGTACGCAGTTTGACATCCGGTGCATCCTCCAGTGACTCTGCATAGAACTCCTTGGATGGAAAGCTTCTGATCTGATGAAAAGGGAGAAAGATCAAGGTGAGGAAAGCAAATTTTCATAGGACTGAAAGTAGGAAATTCGTTCAAATACAGGGAAAAATGTATGGGCAGAAGGAATGTTGAGAGTCCTGCAAACTGTACTACTGTCCGATCCAACCAAGGTTATTTTAAGAAAGAAAGCAGGCGGTTCTTTACAAATCCACTAAGAAAATCTTTTAAAGAGGGGGCACAACTTGGATAAAAAGATTGATTCAATCAATATCGCTTCTTTTTTCTCCCCTCCCATATTAGTAAAGAACATAAAGGCCATCAAATTAGAAATCAAATCAAGGAAGTCGCCACAATATGCATGTCTCGTAATAACAATTGGATTGGATGTGGACTCATAAATCTGTATGCTCCATTTTAAAAGTGTGTTTGAACAATACCCCTTCCAAATGAACAATTTCAACGAAAATTTTCAATCTTATTTTACTATTGTCAACTCTATTATGACGGCCTCATTGGATCAATAAATGTCATATAAATGTCATGGATGAATGGAATAAGCAACAACCACCACTGTTATTCAAAGGTCCAACAATGAGATAAAAGGATATCAACCTGGAACCATCCAAAGTTAAGATGAGCAAGAATAACCGAGTATACAACTTTGAAAAGCTGATACGCAAAAGAGCATCATAAACTTTTCTAAAGGGGTCTATAAACGTAATAGAGGAAAAGTTTTCTGCCTGTTGCGAAAAAAACTTGGACAGACGGCAGTTTTCTGAATAAGGATGAAATTAACAGAAAGTGGCCCATTCTCTCTGTTCCACATCTATCTGGAGTAACAACCACTATTTATGAGATGTATTCAGCTTCAAAAATCCATCAATAGTTAACATTTTTTTTTTTTTTTTCCCTCCATTAACATTCATCACATGCTGGTTTCGTTAGTACTCTGATTGAAAGAGAGAACAAAAAGAGCAGATGACATTTACAAGTTCTGCAGATAGTTCCAATCTTACCTCCGGATGCATTCTATATTGGATCTTCAACATTGTAACAGGATACCCAGCTGACTGAAATCTCTTGAACAAACTCTTGTCATATCTGCAAATTGATCGGTTCCCAAATCAATAACGATTACCATATGGTGAATGAATAAGATATTATGACCACTAAGAGAAATATTCTACCCAAACTTCTTAGCTGTTGTAGAAATTACAGTGGCTGGAAGTTGCTCCGGATCACCAACCTATGACAAAGTAATAGTAAGTAATGTAAACTGCAGAGTCACAGAAAAGCTAAACTTCAAGAAAGTATGTGCAGAGGTCCACATGGCAAAGGTTTCAATGATTCATCCGCAAGTTGTCAATCCACTTTTCGTGTTCAGAGATATTCAGAGCTATATGTTTAAAAGTCCCTAATAGTAGTACTGACGCTATCAAAGAGATTAAAAAGAGAGAAAATTTGCATATGTACCAGGAATACTTGTTTGCATCCATTAGCCAGAGGAACAAGCGTTGCCAATTCCACCTGTATCGAGCAAGTCACAAAAAGAAAGAAAGCAAAAAGCAGTCATACTAATAGTTCAAGAAAAAGCAGGTTTCAAAGAATACATTTCTTACCTGAGTTTATGAAAACTTCTTGAGTATACAATACTCTAAAGCATCAAATAAGCAACTCATACGAATTAACATGCAAAACATATATATATATATATATACATATATCTGCTCAACCAGTCCACATCTGATTCCAACATTACAGCAATGAAGATTATTCTTACTAGAGAGAGCTCCAGGAAACCGGATAGGTGGGCTAATGGGGTGAAAGGGGAAATGTAGGGATAAGAAAAAGGGAAAATTAATTGGGGGCGGATAGTGCAGGGCCATTCAACTACCAAGGGGAGACAGTGTTTAAAATTTAAGAAGCGAAGTAACAATGTAAAAATTTTAAGCCGATGTTTTGGAAGAAATAGATAGTTCAGAAATTCTTCTCAAGGAGTACTGTTATCTTAATATTTAATGAAATTACTACTTGATTCTTATTAGATTGGCCTCCAGGAAATGAAAGCTAGGACAAAAATGAAGAGTTACATTGAGGATGTGAGAAAAGAAATCAGGACTGCATGAGAGAACTTTTGGTGTTCGAAGTGCAAAGGAACAAGGTTGAAGCAGAAAGAAGATGAGATGGACCAGGGTATGGAGAAGATATGGAAAGCGTAGTGAAATGATAGAAGAGATGAGGTGATCATTGGAGTCAATGGGGGACACTATTCCAAGGTGGAGGGTAAGGGGAAAGCATTCATGGGAATAGCTTCTCTCCTTTGTAGATGCCAATCTTCAACGGAGAAAAGCCTGATTATCAGCTGCTTTTGAGTTGACAGGTACCTAGAAACTAAAAAGTTTTCGAAAGAAGATATGACCTCCATGAAAGCAACATGCCCAAGTGGGGAGGCTCTATCTTGTCCTGATTTTGTTGGGTCAAAGGAAAAAAAAAAATCTTATTGGAGCTGGATTAAGTTACAATGACAGTTGTTTCGAAAATTGTATGAGGCGTTTTCAGCTTAACAACAAACTAAAACAGTGAAATAATCTTGGAATCAATTTGAAGTATTGGAAGCGGTTTTAAATGGTATGATGGAAAGGTGTCGAGAGCCAATTTGACAATGGGTTGAAAATGGAGATCCAAATTGAGGAAAGGATGCTACTGCCCCTACAGTCCAAAAAGGAGTTACATTTGATCCAAACCCACGATCTGGAGTCAACTCATATCTGCGACCT